ACCGCGGAAACCGATTTGGCAGCGTCGTCCACGTACACTCGCCCACTCTCTTGGCAGCCTTCCACGATCGACATATAAATAAGGCGGGATATGTTATCTTGTTTAACCGTCTCTTAATAGGATTTCTTTGAGGTAAACCGATTGACTCGGCGCTGACCCGAATCAATTGGGAACGTACGTGTACGTACGTAGGTCGGAGCTTTGCCGGATAAAACTTGAAAGATCAAACCGAGTGTCTTGGTCGAAGTTTTGGTTACGTGTTATCCGCGCGCAATTTGCATCGGATTTGAAAGAACAAAGAAATTTGGAGTGTGATTATATTAGGGGCTATTTTATTTTCATCGTATAAAGGGTTACTAATCGACGTTTTGTCGGAGCTTAGGGGAAGATCTGTTTAATAATTATGTTTTATTCTATTTCCCCAATAACGGTGAATAATTTTTAAAACGGCGGTCGAATCTATCCTCGCGTATTTTCCCGTTTCCATTACGTTTCGAGCCCGGCAGGCGATACGCATGTCGGCGTATGTGTATCGGTGTCGGTTAGTTACTATTCCTGTCGGGTGATTAAAATATCTCGCCGACTATTGAGATATTTATTTCGGACTCTCGTCGGCATCGCGTTAATTAACATACACTTTTGCGATCGAATCGTATCTACGCGAGTGTCAGTGTTAATGAGTGGAGTGTGTGGAACCATGAAGCGGCTTGGAACAGGATGCTGAATAAGGGAGCCAGGACGGAGGACGCAAGCAGCGATGCGTCATATATTTTCGGGTGCGTTAAATTATTTATCATACAGAATATTTCTGAATTTAACGGACGTTTGGCACACGAAAATGGGAATATATTTCGGGTAGAAATTAAGAATTTACTCTATCACCGGCATTCATAATTACTTTCATCGTTTGAATAAGTAACTATAATTTTATGGATTTCTGATTGTCCGTTAATCTGCAATAATAATTGCTACAAAAAGATATGTCGATTCAAATAGCCAGATAACACGTCCATGAACACGCGTCTGTAATCAACACGTTGAATACCGTGATAGTCGCCGATGATGCGCACTATGATACTACCGTATCTCATTAAACTACGCGTAAATTGTTATATAATTAATATAATTTAAATTCTATAAGGATTTTCAACGCCAATAAGAGTTAATAATGAAATTATGAGGACAAAAGAATTTTCTTACGTGTTATTTACTTATTAATCTTATTATATTTTACTCATATTAATGATTTCATATTTGTTTATTACACATTCTCCTCTGCAGCTGAGTAATTATCGTAAATGAATACATTGCTTGTTTTGAAATTAAGAATAAAGATTAAATGCAGAGATAGCATATTGAGGTAATTAAATATTAAATAATTCTTGAATAAAAGCGCTTTTCAAACTTTTGAACATCGAGAAAAGCGCAGTATGTAAACATGTAGTATTTAAACATACTATCAAGGTAATACAATAGCTTGTATGATGTTACATCTCGAGATTTTCCATTGGTCAACGATATTTGCAGAATTAATATAGAATTAAATTTCGACTCGGATACGAATATCAGGATGCTTCGGTTATGCATACGGAAATTTGATCGATATATTATGTAACAAATTAAGCGTATCAATATGGGTCGGTCGCGTATCATATCCGTAGCAGGAATATTAAAAAATTTTCGATAAAACGTTCGATTCTTCTTATACCTGCGCCGAGGCGATTTTCGAAGTAAAATCCTAGTCCCTTTAATTCAAGCAACTCAATACTCAAATTTTTAAAAACGTCCCCCTTATGCACATTAAAATTCCAAACCGCGAAGCCAATTTGAAATCGGACATCGGGCGCCGTGCTATTATTATTTATTTGCACTCGTCTTTTTATTTTAATCCTCGAGAAGCCCTTCGCATCGAGCGATTTCCAACAAGCAGTCCGTCGACGTCTCGGAGTTTTTACTAAGGGGAAAAAAAATCGATTCCGTATTCGTCGGGGGATCTATTTACATAACATCGTTTGCGCGTTTGAAGACACTCCGGTTCCAGGACAGAGGGAGTGCGAGTGAGATAGATCGAGTGAGAGAGAGAGAGTGGTGTCGAGTTGTTCGTCCCGCATCGACACACGAGGCCGCGTCGCTCGGGGATGCGCGGTCGCCGGCAACAGACGCCGCCGCGAAATTCAATCAAAATCAAAGGGATAAGGTGTATCGGAGCGTGAAAGCGCCTGGGTTCCGGCGGATTCCTTGCGGCCGGAAAATGTTTCACGGCGCGGATCGATCGGGCGACCTTATCACAGAGCGCGGACGACGCCTCGGGTGGATAGGTGGTGGGGGAGTTTCGGCCCCGGTTCCCCGGGGACGATTCGGGAGTTGCTCCTTACGTTCCTTATCGCTCTCCGTGGCGAGCGACCATGGCGGTGCTTTATCACGTCCGAAGGCGATCACGGCGCCTTCCGCGACCGCATGAATCATTATGGTCGCGCGGAATCGCGGCTACAGGATAGCGACGCAGTTATTCCTTGCCTCTCCCCCCCTCCAATCCCGTTTGATCCCACGGGGCTCACCCCGCAATCTTTCGCGAGGTTTCCGGAAGGGAGAGAAAGAGAGAGCGCCGGCCACGCCGGCGAAATATTTAAAGAGGATAATCCGAGGCCGGACGTCGCGGTCCATCGGAGTGAGCGGACAGAGAGCTTTGGCGGGAATTCACACGCGTAATCCTCGTAGGGTGAGCCGAAATTATTAAGGGATTCTTGGGAGGTTGCCTCGAGGATACCGCCTGGACGTGATACCTGGCCTCGTCGTGTTTCTTTCCTCGCGCGATAGCACCGTAAACGTAACGTGTTAATACGCGGCGCTTTTGAATTTTTAACAGCGCCATACGTTTCTCTTTTCTTCCCCCTTTTTTCTTCGAGAGGGTAAACCAACGAGATCGTTTACTCGACGCGCACACACGGACCAGCGGTCAACTCTGAGATATCGGCAGCGAATATTCCGGGCGAGAGTGGGATCATCGGATAGGATTGTATTCGTGGACACGCGGAGAAGAGTCGTCGGTCCTCCTCGTCGTCGTTACCGTCGTTGAATTCGGACCTCGCGCGGTATCATTGATATTTTTCAGGGCGGACGCACGCGGCGGTGGTGCACGCGTGAGGACGACGAAGGCCGGCGAAGACCAGCCGAAATAATATCACGAGGAATTACGGTGTCCCTCTCGGCTCATTTACGGTCCAGGACCCCTTTTCGGGCTGCACGCGTTAGTCACGCACGACAGAGCCCCTCTTTAAGGCTCGGCACGAGCGTTGTTTCTACCGTGCCGTGGCGAATCCCAAAGCTCTCGGTCAAGCTTAATGCGCCTAATGGAACCTCCTGAGTGCCGTTACCAATTTTGCCGCGACTCACGATTTAGCGGCGAGCCAACCGGGACATTATAAAAATTTATTGGCCGGTCAGCCGTTCGCAAACAGTCGTCCTCGCCGCCGTCGGCATGTTTTATGATCTTTTTTGTGCGCGCACATACTTAATTCCTCGGCGAAAAAAAGGATGTTATCGTGCTAAAAGCGTCTGTGGAAATCCGTTTGACGACACGAACGCGTCGAGAGATGTGATGGATCCCGCCACGAACAGTTTCAAAAGTAAGGAGAGAAAAAAATTCTCTCTCTCTCTCTCTCTTTCTCTCATGAACATATACACATAGAGCGTTCGTTCTTTATTTGTCATTTTATTCATGTCTCTCGTCATTTTAAGCGGCTCACGGAATATTTAAGCATTCTCGAGGCGGAAGTAAGTTTTTAGAAAAATACCCGCGTTCGCGCCCAGCATATTTTAGGGGCTTAAAGCCTCCGGTTTTTAGAGCGTATTTCTGGTTGGCTCGGCAATTACCGCGAACATGCGCGTGCGCGCTCGCGTACAATTTATACGCGATGTATTAATTATAATAAATACGCGCGCAAACACGTAACGGTGCGCGCGTGTGTACTTAAACAGAACGTGCAAATATTGTCCCGCAACTGTAACGGCCGGGATTAAGTGGTACGCGGCGAAAATATTTCAGTCGTGGAAATTACATGCGAAGAGAGAGAACGAGGAGGGGGAGGGGGGGAAGAGAAACGGCTCGGCGCTTCGAAGGATGCAAATGCCACGCGATTAATTCTTAGCGACGGAAACGCTTCCGGGCCGTTCGACATTCTTGTATGACAGCGGATGGTTAAGTGCGCCCACGCCGTTTCGCTTATCAGCCCGGCCTAATCGGAACTGTTCGACTTCCTGGAGTTCCAGGTGCTGGTAGCTAATTAGGGACGGCCTTCGGCCGACGCCTGTACGGCCGTTCATCACGCGCCTCTCCTCGCCGCTATTACCTTCCGTCCGAAATTCGCGAAAGGCGAGATCGGATCTCAGATACCGCCGCGTTTTCGGCATTTCTGCTATTCCTGCGCGTTCGGCCGTCGTCGGTCCTTGAGAATCGCGCCGATTCGCAGGAATCAAGGACGGGAAAAAAACCGGAGAATGCAATAATGGGCCGACGGGAGCAACGGTAATAATAATAATAATCTCCTGCACCTGGGCGCCGCGATAAACACGAAGGGCACAGACGGGAGTTTCAGCTGCGACGTTGAAAATTTCATCTCGGCGAGGAAACTTCGCCGGAAACGGCGGAGCAGAAACTTATTCGACGCGTTCCCTCCGCGCGATATCAGGACTTATACACGCATATATATATATATATATATATATATGTATGTGTGTATGTATATATTCCGTGAGAAGTAGGATCATCATTAATTATCCATGCGCAAAGTCAACGTTGGCCGGAGAGAGTCGTGTGTCGGTAATAAATCTAGGTGCCGCTAATCGCGCGATATTGCAGCGTCGTCTGTGCCGTCATTCGTCGCGCGTAAACTTCGCTCTAAGCTCCGGGTATTTCCGGAGTGTCAGTTCCGCCGGACCGGCGACAACGGTGACTGCGACAACGGAAATAATAACGGATCGGGAGGGGAGTTCGAACTCACCGCATCGTTGTGGTTCCAGTAAACGTAGGCGGGCGGCTCTGGACTCTGCAGGACGACGCACGTGAGATTGATGGTGCTACCTCGATTGATGTACAAGTCCGGCGCACCCAGAATCTCGGTTATGGGTTCTGAAAAGTGAACGATGTTTCACGCGTGAGCGATCTCTCGACTGTCGATTCACGCCGTGCCGGTGAAGATTACCGCGCGTATATTCGGGAAGCAAGGCGAATCCTCGACTATGCTGCGCAGAGAAAAAAATTAGCCTCAAATCAAGAACAGATATTCTCAATGTATGAGCGACAGTATTATAATCTTCTCAGAAGATCCTTGGTTCCTTGATCAGATTGAACTTGTATCGACGCAAGTATGACAAAATTCTTTGAGAATATTATAACATTCTTGCTTGTATATATGAGAATATCCATCCATTGATTGAAGACTACTTTTTCCATGTGGATGCGGTAAAATTCGCAACAAGCGGGAGAGGTGATTTTTCCTTTCAAAAAATAAGTCGAAATTATGGGACACATCTTTTATTTCATTTGGAGGTCCGCTTTTGGAAGAAACATTTTTGAAATCTTAATCAGTAAACGCGCACCTGTCCAACCGAGTCGGACGGAGAAAGAATTTTTAATTGGATTAATTTTCAGTTAGATTCATTTTTAATTAGATTCAATTTTTCATAAAGAATTTTCCTACACACCAACGTTCTGTTTGAATATAACGTTATAGCTCGGCACAGATTAAAGTAATGCGACTAAATTACTTTGTAATGCATTTAACTCGCACAGTCGCAAGTGCGGTTGCAATTTTAATCGAACGTACGTGTACAGACTTGCGGAAAGAGTTTTTCACGAAGAAAACCGCAAACCACGCGCGGAAAAATCTATTCCATACTTTCGACTTGCATGTGCGCAAGCCATCGTTCTTTTCTCGCTTGCGTCACGAATTTTCCCGCATTCTGTATGTACGCGCGAACAGGTGACTTATTGTCGGCTATCTCGCTGACGGAAGGGAACAGTTGGGCGCCGTGATATGTTACACGACACGGTGTAATTAAATATTACATTACGCCGGAACGAAAGGGTAAAGTTTTTCGTGCCACTCTCTTCTCATCGTAGTTTTCTCTCCCCCTTCTCTCTCTCTCTCTCTCTCCTTTCGCGGCCAGCAAATGAGTGGAGCAACGTAGCTCTCGCACGGATTAAATTCAAGAATCCGAGCGCAGAATTACATCCGCTTTCGGAATTTCTATTTCATGCAAATGTCCTAGCAGTTAACAACGTTAGTATGCTTCCTCTGGTGATACCGGTTGCCATTTCTTAACGCGTCTCGTCGAATCGCCTTTCCTACGAGTGCATCGCGAGACAAAGTCGCGTTTTCTTGACGCCGCGTCCGTATTAAACTTCGCGGAATCCGGATACGCAAGATTGTATCGCGTCTCATGACTTTATGTGCGCTTTATGTAAATAACGGATATTTGTCACGTCGCGCTTCGGGGCGACAGTTTGCCACGCCGACGCAGAAAAGCTCAGTTCTCCCCCTCCTCTCCCTTTTCTTCTCTCTCTCTCTCTCTCTCTCTCTTTCTCTCACTCTTTCTCCGGATTAAATCTAAAGATTTAAAGATGAGATCCCGTCGAGATTCTCCCAGAATTTTACGTTTCTTTCATGTAAATGTCTCCCCGCACCGTGATATCTCGGCGCGTCTCGTTTTTGTGATTTCTCAGCCACGCGTTTCGGCTTATAAGAAGTATACAATGGCACTGACAGAACCGGGGGTGGGGGGGAGGGGTTGCGCCTCTTAACGTTATAATACTGAATCTTATTATTCGTATCGCAACGGGAGGATCTCTACGTGTTTGCGAAATGAAAGGGCAACATTCGTTACCGTCGGCGCGTTAAGGAAACAACGAAGCTAATCCTCATCCCTATCTTTTCATCTCGATTATCCCGCGGCGGAAGACTCGCCCTGCCGTGAACGCAGCGCGTCGATACCGTGAATCCATTTTCTGATATCATGCGTGTATTTTATCGGTAGGAATGTACAAGTCTGGTGCAGCCAGGATCTCGGTTATGGATTCTGGAAAGTGAACGATGTTCCACGCGTGAGCGATCTCTCGACAATCGATTCAGGCCGCGCTAGTGAGACGATCGCGCATACATTCGCGGGAGAAAAGGGATCGCGAATCTTCGACTTATACTTGGAAATTACGGAATATATATATATATATTTTTTTTTTCATTTAGAATCCCACCTTCGGGGAAACATCGGTGAAATTTTCATCCTCAATAAGCGTGCGCTTCTTCGCCTGTAGGAATATTTCACATCTACATTGTGACTGCAAACTCGAGGCCACAGTTGTTTATTAGCTCACATTGGAACAACAACGAAGGTACATAGTGAACTTTTCGAGCAATTTCAGCGAAAACACGTAGCACGGCGTATAGGGATATTTTTTTACCGTTCCTTTTTCAAGGACGCTAGAGAGAGCAATTTCTCTCTGTGTGTATATATCCGGACGGGAAAGCGGGCTCGCGCGACACGGTCCCAACAACAAGCCTCCCTTTCTCGTCGGTAGCTAAATTCAAAAACCGGCAAGATTGCTCCGGTCGCGGCTTAGAACGTTTTACCCCCGGCCGGGGGGGGAATCAACGATGACGGGGTCGTTATCGGCGACTGAATCGGGGGTCCCCGCATCTGTCGCGAGAATTGTGCAGAATTACAGCGGCGATCCCTAGATGGGAACTTATCCTGAAAGTCTCTCGTTCATCGCCCGTCCTTTCATGCCGGCTGATAACAGTCCGTCGCGGGAGGTGAATTGGACGCGCGCGCGCCGGCGCGCACACACGTCAGGAATTTATTTATAATGCCGAAAAACGTCGACCACGTCGACGTGACGCTATTTATAGCCGGCGTCCGCCTGGTCGGTCGGATGAACGGACCGACGAGCGAACGGACGGACCGACCGACCGACGTCCGTTTTGCGTCCTTTTGTGCTGCCGAAGAGTGATGCGGTTGACCTGGCCTCTGTGCGCACCTCGAAAGAGCACTTTGAGGCGCTTCATACAGAGGAGTATCCGGTATCTGTTACCGGTGGCGAGCCCTGTTCTGCTGCGCGCATATTCGCGCGTACATGTGCGCGAGAGAGAGAGATTGAGAGAGAGAGAGAGAGGGGGGGGGGAGTAACGAACGCTCGCGTTTGTGTAGGTGTGTGTGCGTGCATGTATTTACGGCGGTGAGATAGAAAGAGAGACAGAGAGAGGGAGAAAGAGAGGGGGAGGTCAGCCGGTAGATCGATGTGAATATTTTCCGGACGGCCTCCTCCTCGAGGATTGACCGAAATAACCGGGCAGCGTGCTTTACGGCTTTTGTGCAACGGATGATACCGGGGACGACGGTTAACCCCCCCGGTGGTTAACAGCACACCACCGACCTTCCTTCCTCCCTCCTTCTCGCCTCCTTCTTCCTACCTTCCCACCCTTCGTCACCGCCATCCCCACGTCTGCGCTTCTTCTTTTCTCCGATCCCGCCACCGCGGAGCTTTTTCTTCCGGGTCTCTCGCCGAATCCGGATTTAGATTTTAAAAGCTTCCGACGTTCGTGTTTTTTTTTCTTTCTTTCTCGCCCTCTCCGCTCCTCGCCCTTCGTTATATTTCACGCCCTTGTCGACCGCCTTCCTCCGCGTGATTCTCTCTTGTTCTTCCCGTTTCCCCGTTCGCTAAGCTCGCCCGTCTAACATGTGCCTTACTTCTTCCCTCTTCGTGTATCTCAAAATTCTCTTTAAACCCTTTAGTATCTGCGTGCGCGCGGGTGTGTCGAGCTCGTTTGAGATCCGCGAGAGTTCTGCTTTCTTCTTTTATATTTCTCTCTGGAAGGAAGAACGAAAGCGGGCCAGCTTCGTGTACGATATCGTAAAGTTCTCGAGTTTTAAGGATTTAACATCGGGTCCGCCTGAAAGAGAGGCATACTCGATATCGTCAGTACGTGCAATTGTGTATACCTGCTTCTGCGCGAGTAATTAAGAGTGAAAAATATACGGTGCTCCAACGTGTATCGTTTCATTTATTCCTCCGAGTTAAATATGCATTTTATATGTGTTTCATCTGAATTCTTTCTTGACTTTTAATTAATGTTATTAATTGTCGAACGATTCAACGAAAACACAAAAATTATATTATTTTATATATTTATTATATATTCTTACACGTCCTCTTTATAATCTGACATATTTTTTATTATGTAGAAAAGTCTCTTGACTTTTTCTTCTCGACTATCTTGAACAAACAAGAAAAACAAAGGAAAATCAGTTACGAGTAACTTCAAGCTATATTCTGTAAGATAATATTTCACAGCAAGTTCAGGTGTGTTGGTTGGAAAACTAGTAAACTTAGATATATCGGTTTACCGAACGTAACCCTAATCTTCCTTGCACGGTTCGCTGACAGGGGATAAAGATTGACAAAGAGATCCGAAGAGATTTAAAAAGTTCGAAACTTAAATTATAAAATAATATTGTCCAAGAAGTTACATATAAAATACTTATGAAATACTTGAAGTAAGTAATATTTACTTAAATACACCACATATATTTCTGCATGTATTGTTCGACAGAGTTCGACACTTCATAGCCGAGAAAACACGGGTACGTCGACTTTCCATATCCTTGTCAGTTTCGATTGTCCCCTATTTTTCCCCTGCAGTGAGCAAACTCGATCTATCCCCATCATTTTCCGGACTCCGCACGGAGCTCTCGCTGCCCGGTAAATAGATTAGTTCATCCGCTCGCGTATCCGTCCGTGTGTCTTTTCTCGCCCGTTCCTCTCTTTTTCACTTCTTTGTCCACACAACATCGTCTGTCGGGGGCGCAGGGCGAAGAGCGACCGCCTATCGTCCCGATCGATACCACGAATATACGCGAAACGCTTTAACGTCGGTTAACCGCAGACGAAAGCCGACCTCGTCAGGCACGAGGCCGCTTTCGTCAGTCGAAATCAGACCGAGCTTTTCGCCGACGAAGTTTGCGGAACTCTCAATTCGCCCGAATACTCATAAACGTATGATCTCGGCGCGCGTTTTAAATAATTTCCGCTCGGCGGAATTAATGACGCCGGAAGCGCCATTTCTCTAACCA